CTCACTCACTCACTCACACACACACACACACACACACACACACACACACACACACACACACACACACACACACACACACACACACACACACACACACACACACACACACACACACACACATCTGAAATAACAGTAAAAAAGAAAAAGAATATTCTTCAAAAATATAATAATAATGTGTTGAGGAATATATGTATATGCAAGTGTGTATGTGTATATTTATGTGTGTGTGTGCGTATCAGCCAGTGGGTAAATGTATATACATTATATTTACATACTGTCTTAAACGCTAGATTATTTGATTGTATATTTCTCATGTTTTGTTATATTTAACACATGTAGGAGATAATACAACTTACCTTGCCTATTCCCAATAAAAATACAAAAAAAAAGGAAATTAAAATGATTTGATTCCCAAGCCGTCCAAACATTCCAGGCAATGTCTCCCCTCTGTCTCCCCCTGCTCACTCTAAGATCTACACTAAAGACCCTCTGGCCCAAAAAAACCTTTTAAAATGATTTGTGTTTGTCAGGTGACTTCCTTCAGACCCTGCAGGACGACGACCTGAACGTGCGGCGCGTCTCCTTGGTGATGTTTAACTCTGCCGCTCACAACAAGCCGTCTCTCATCCGCGGTCTCCTAGCAACAGTGCTGCCTCATCTGTACAGAGAGACCCAGATCAGGAAGGACCTCATCAGAGAGGTAACTTTTAAAGGGGCCCTACGTGCCTTACCTGTGACATGTTTCCATGTTAATGTTAAAAAAGGTCTCTATTTTCCTTAGCCTATCACAACCTTTGCATGGACAAATTCTTTATAACACACGACAGGGAAAGGGAAACCCCCAAAAGCATAAACGGGCCTCTTTAATATAAAAATGATATTTCTGATGCTTGTATTTTGGTGCTGAATCCTGTTTGTTCTCTGCAGGTGGAGATGGGTCCGTTCAAACACACGGTGGATGACGGTCTGGACGTCCGTAAGGCTGCGTTCGAGTGCATGTACACTCTGCTGGACAGCTGCATGGAGGGGCTGGACGTCCTGCTGTTCCTGGACCACGTGGAGGAGGGACTCAAAGATCACTACGACATCAGGGTGGGTGCAGCACATTGAGGAAATACAATTATAAAAGATCACTTCAGAGTTATGTAAGTAGCTTGCAATGCAATATGCACAAATCAGAATCGGAGTATTTTATTTATTGAAGGAGAAATTGGATTTTGTGACGGTTGCTCCTTTACACCAAACAAAACATTTCTATAAAAATGTGAAGTTAAAGTAAAAATGTGCAATAAAAGGAGAAAATTAAATAAAAGAGAAAATACATATTTATGAGAAGGTAAAGTACAAATGTACAAATTGTACAATATATAATTACAACATATGTAATACATGTGAATTAAAAGAAGAAGCAGTAGGAATAACAAGGTTCAAAAGACCATCACGAATTAATGAGACGTTAATAAAAACCGAAAAAAGCAAGAAAAATATATTAAATCAAATAATGAATAAAGACAATTAAATAGAAATGTGAGTTAAAGCCAATACAATAGTACAGAATTAAAGAAGATACAATTATAATCAGAACCAACGACTGACCAATTAAAAAAAAACTAAATTAAAAAACAATAGAACGAGTATAATAGAATATGATAAAATAATAATTAAGTCCAGCAATCGACAATACTGAGGCGACACCTAAGAGGAATATTAATAAACTATGTTTAGTTTTAAAGGACGATAGCGTTGGAGCTAATAAACAGATGAACTCCCAGCTGGTGTTGTGTTCAGGTGCAGGAAGAGTTTGTGTGAAGTAGATATCTATCAATAGTCTCTTGAACTCATAAATGTTTTCTTTGCTAAGTTATATTTATTTAAGCCTCAGGATCAAACGGCCATGCTCCCAAGCCGAAGCTTCAACCACTTTCTCCGCAACACTACACACCCAGCTCAACAGTCCCAAGGGAACCGCCGCTGAAACCTACCAGGGAAAACTCCGCACTGCTCCACATACAACGCACCAACGAACCCACACGTGTCAACGAGAGAGCGAGAGAAAAAAACAAAACAACAGCTGACAACGTCTAAGAACAACTGGCAAGCACTCTCCCGAAATATAATACCAAACAAATCAAAGCCTCACAAAGTAATTTTACCAGTCCCCAAACAACGATCTGAAATATAATGTCCTTCCCACATGCGGTGTAATGAGCCGAAACACAGAAACCAGCCGCACTGCATGCACTCCCAACATGTGGGGGAAACTTCTGTGTAGCAATGCAGTGGGAGTTACCGACTCAGGAAGGAGACACGGGAAGAGCAGGAGCTTTGATGTCAAACACTGATGGTTTATTTGGAGGTTCGGCCAGAGCATTCACATCACAAGTGACAGCAGTCACGGTGAGACTGCACGGGAGAGTTGCCATGTCAATTCTGGAGCGCCTCTCTCTCGTTAGCCCATTTAACTGGTTTCACAGAGAGTAATCAACATATTTTGAGAAGATAACCTAAACAGTTGGGAACACTGAGTCACTTGCGTCTGACACTCATGGCCTCGAAGATGTCACACCTTGGAGTCCACAAACACCGAGAAGGAAGTGTCCCAGTGCACCCACAACAATAAACCATCTGTGACCTAGGGTTGCCCGGTCACAGAATGGGAACAACAACATTATGGCTGAAGCAGCCTATCTCCTTAAAGGACATAACAGACGTCAGGGTTGGTCATGCACGTCATATCTAGGAGTCTAGGACAATTATTTCCCTAACACAACACACTTTACACACGCGCACCACTCCTAACACAAATCGTACCTATCCGTTGCTGTAGTACAGATAGGAGAAGCGGACAAGCCCCCATCTGTCATGGCCTGGCTCTTGGCCATAACAAAAAGTTTGGAAAGGACAAGAATATATATGAGAAAATATATTTATTAACCAGAACTCAACAGGAACCAAAACTAACATAAAGGCAAGGCAAAAGTTTAAGCGAGAGTGGCCGCTCCCAGAACAAGTCCTCCGCGGAGAGAGAGATCGAGACTCTGGCTCAGGCCTTTTAATCCTCCGGTGCCAGCAGCCACTGTGTCTACTTCCTCTTTCTCTGTGTTCCTGCAGATGTTGACGTTCCTGATGTTGGCCCGCCTCGCCTCTCTGTGTCCTGCAGCCGTTCTGCAGAGACTGGACCGACTGATCGAGCCTCTCAAAGCCACCTGCACCACCAAGGTACCAGCCCCATATTCATATAATGATTCATATAAATGCTAAGGTATGACTCTGCATGGGCAGGAATTGACACAGCTTTTCCAGCTTCATGTTTAAATGTATTTATAAATCCATAGACTACTATATTGCAACAATAGATACTCTTATGGTCAATGTTCGTATTTTTAACTAAATTAGAATGACAGAAATCGATAACGATATAAAACTTTAACATTCATGTTCACAATAATACTCATTACTTTACAAGAGCTTCACATGGGGCAGATAGTGTTTACATATTTACAATGTATTCTTTGTGTGTTAATTCCGATAAAATATATAAGTGTAAATGCAGTTTCCAGAAGTAAAAAGCTAACGTTAGGCTGTGAAGGAACTACAGCGTGCACATGGCTTCACGTCACCAACGCTAAGCTAAAGGCGGCTAAAGTTGGGCGTGATGACGCTAAGTCGCCTCATTTAGACACTTGTTAGCAACCACTGTTTTTAAATCCACCAGTTGGGTATTTACTGACGTATTTGATGTCGTAGAATGAAAATCTCTTCAGCTTGTGTAACCACAGACCTTATTTCAGGCTAACAACCAGAAACGGGCTGACTCTTTTCAGAGCTTTAGGGCTCATTCCTGCACCACTCCATAATGCATGTAGTATTAAGGACTACACTTGTGAATTAGCATGAGATGAGTTCCCCTCCTCACTGCAGTGACTCTCCTCCTGCAGGTGAAGGCGGGATCGGTGAAGCAGGAGTTTGAGAAGCAGGAGGAGCTTCGGCGCTCTGCGATGCGTGCCGTCGCCGCCCTGCTGGCCGTGCCTGAGGTGGAGCGCAGCCCCAGCATGGCCGACTTCGCAAACCAGATCAGAACCAACGCAGACATGGCCTCCATCTACCAGAGCGTTCAGGGGGGGGAGGGGGGAGGCATCGGGCCCGCAGAGAGCATGGACATGAGCTAGAATTGGGGGTGTTTTATTTTAAAGGTCACCTATTATGCAAAATCCACTTGTTGACGTCTCTTATACATAAATATGTGTCCCCTCTTTGGAAAGCTGATCAGATTTTGGCCACTTTATGATGTCCTAATGTTTTTTTGTCCTGTGTAACCATTAGCCAATCAGCAACCAAGGTAACCCCCCCCCCCCACCTTATCACCTGAATCTCCTCCTATACCTCATTCACACCAACGCAACTCCGGTTCAAGCTCCGTGCTAGAGCTTTTCAGGTTCAGAACCGGTTCTTCGGTTTAGCTCCGGCTCTTTTCACACCGCCCCGAGTCCGACTGGTTCTGCGTCATTGCGTCATCGTTTGCCTGCTTCATAAAGCCAAACCGCGCGGACACCGACAACAACAACAATGGCCGATTGTGCTCCAGCTTCCTCTGTACCTCTTCAGAAGACCAGATTCCCAGTAGGTAGCTGGTCTCTTCAGTGGACCACTGCTGCTTGTTAAGTTTCTCCATCGTTGTGTACAAACTGGATAAAATGCAGGCTTTTTGTTGTTGTTCAGGAGTTGATCCCGCCCCTGCCCCCGCCTCGAC